TAAACATGTTTTATTTTAAGCAAAAGAAAGCCACTACACTGTGACACCACAGGACCATAGTTAATACAATGGTAGCAGTTTGTCACATTTTGTGAATTCTAAGGAGTCTCAATGAGACAAGCACATATTGTGCCTTTTATTTTGAATATAAGCATCTGGTTTACACTACAGCTGCTCCTGTGATTCCCAATATAAATTCTAGGGGATGAGATTCATAGGTCCTGATTTGCTGATTGTCCATCACTGTGTGATGTGTCTTCATAGCACCTTATCACTGCATTTTATCATGGGCTCAGAATATGTACTTTGTGAACCAAATGTTTGCACACATGGTTCTTCAAAAGCGCAGATTAAAAATATCCTCTAAGCATAAGAGGTGTGTGGATTGATATTCTAATTAAAGACAATGCAGAGAAAGCAATACTCGTTCGCTCGTTTAGTCGTTTAGTTGTGTCCGACTCTTCGTGACCCCATGGACCAGAGCACGCCAGGCCCTCCTATCTTCCACTGCCTCCCGCAGTTGTGTCAAATTCATCTTGGTTGCTTCGCAGACACTGTCCAGCCAATACTAGTGATTCAAATATGATGGCCCAGTAAAATTTGGTATCTTTTGAAAAAAAATATTAATTACAACTTAATTTGCTTTGAATATAAGACATTTGACTAGATTCCTGGACTGGAATCCAAGGAGGGCTGGATAAGTGAGGCTCAGGAAGGCAAGGGTGAGGAGGCAACCACAATAATTCCCTCTGTCAGAGTTATGTATACTCTATAGTTTTGAGTATTCCACTAAAGTAGCTTTCTGCCCTGGGGTATGGTGGAGACTGTTGTTATTCCATTGGTCATATTTAGCTGGCAGCCCAGTCAGCTTTTGTATATGGAAAGGGGTGCCATCTTGTCCTTTGTCTGAAGCAACAAAATGTCTTCAACCAGCCCTGGATCCAAAGTAACCATCCTTCAAACATGCACCGTTCTATACAGGCTCACAGTTAATTGCTTTTCTCTGCTTTGCTACCCTGATGCCACCTGACAGTGGGATTAATGAGCTCTCTAAGCAAAAGAACTTCTTACGTGGTATTGATCATTAATCTGTGTTTACATTTTTAAACTCAGCCAGCAAGCCATCCAATTCAGGTTGGGTTCATTTAGAGTAACTCATCAACATAAGATCAGTTTTGGACGATAAAATAATAACACAAATCAACAAAACTAAATGTTTACAGATAGAGTAGAACAAACAATTATATATACATTCAAGCAACAAATGAGTGCATAAATACCTTTACAAAAACAAAAACTGGAATCCATGATGACAGTTCATAAAATTAATTGAATTGAATTTACTTTATTGTCATTGTACTTCCGTACAATGAAATTAAATGTCATTTCCAGGACAGATAATAATAAAACACACAAGAACATAGCATCCATAACATGAAAACATAGCACATTACACATGAAACACATCCCTCTCATTCACATCCACATCCTTCTCATTCAATTTCCCATTGCACAACACATTAATTCCACACATTAATTATACAGTGGAATTCAATATGCTGTACTGTAGCTGCAGCTCTGGGACAGAAACTGTTTTTCAGCCTATTTGTCTTTGTTTTAATACTGCCTATCAGATAATAACAATTGAAAGAGGGAATGGCCCAGGTGTGATGGATCTTCGAGAATATTTTGGGCTTCCTTAAGACAGTGGGAATTATAGAGATCTTCCAAAGAGGTAAGAGGGCAGACAGTGATCCTCTGGACCATTGTAATAATGCTCTGGAGCGTTTTCCTATCTGCCACTGTACAGTTAGCAAACCATATACCAGAGCAATAGGTTAAGATACTCTCTATGATACAGCAGTAGAAGGTTACCAGCAGTTTTCTATTCACTTGTTGTCTCCTGAGAAGTCTCAGGTAATATAGTCTCTGCTGGGCCCTCTTAACCACTGGTGTAATACAGTATGAGCACCACAGGACAGGTCCTCCTTGATGATAACACCCAGAAACTTAAAACTGGTTATCCGTTCCACTTACTCTCCATTTATAACCAAGGGCTGAATATCTTATTTATTTCTTCTATAAGCTCCTTGGTCTTCTTGATGTTAAGGGTCAAGTTGTTATCTTCACACCATGAGAACAGTCGATTCACCTCATCCCAATAGGCTAACTCATCCCCTTCAGAAATAAGCCCTACCCACTGTTGTATCATCTGCATATTTGGTAATAATACTATTTTGATACATGGGTGTGCAATCAAGTTCTGTTAGAGTAACCCTCATATGCTGCTGTTAAAAGGTTTGACTGGGAGGGATGTTTCTGGGCTGGGTTGACTTTCAGTCAATCCAGCAGTAACTACAGCAATTGTTCATTCTCTGCCTCTGATTTTGAAGAGAGCCGTACCCCTCTGCACTAGAGTCTTTTTCCAACTCTTTTCCAGTCAATATTCCATTTGTCTTAGAACAGTTATGTAGTCAGTGCAGTTTATGCAGTCAGAATGTAGTCTGCAGGAGTCTGCTAGGAGTAGGCTATGGGTCAGTTAAGGCCTCTTCATATAACCAGTCATTTTTTCCACAATATGCTATCTTTTAAATCTGTTCAGAACTGTGAGTAAATGAAACCTTTTATTTTTTTTCTCTTACCAATGTCTCAGAATGAGTTATTGAGACTGTAAGTGTCAGTTGATGAGGCAATAAAGGGTGGTCTCCTCTGGCCAGACTTGAAGCTAATTCTGTTCTGTAGATCCTTGAACCTTCTGCTGCATAATTGGGGGTGATTTTCTCTTTCCCAAAATTTCACACTCGGCCAGGACATTCAAGAGGTTATTCTAAATCCATTAAGACCATTACATGCCGTAAGATTAAAATAATTTACAAGAGCTGTACATGCTCTGATCACAAGAGTGTATGCAAGCTGGGACTGATGAAGGACCATGAACTGCTGCTTCACCTGAACACTTTTCCTACAGCACTTCTTTGGAGGAAAAAGCATGAAACCATATGTATAAGCCATTGTATGTGATCAGTGGACATATACTGTCTATGTACGTTCAAGGAAACTGCATCTATGTATGATGAAGCTGTAGGACTCATAGTTCCTTTCATACAAAATTACTGTTTGGAGAGTAAAAAGTGTAACAAGTAAACTGCCTAAATCCGATAACAGTGATTCATCACACATCAATTCAAGCCACCTCCAGTTTTTTTTAAAAAAAGGAAGTGTAACACTACACTGGAATGAACAAGTTATCACAAATAAAACAGTTGGTTTTAATAAGCCATATATTATATTCCAGATAAGCAAGAAAAAACATACCTTATAGAAGTCAGAGTTCCATCAACAATGTCAACAGTACAGAAAAAATAAAAATTGCGGAGTACCAAAGATTAATGCAAGGAATTAAAAGATATGGAAGCAAGGTCATCCTTCTCCCTATACTAATTTAAGCAACTAGATTTGTTCCAAAATCTTTGGTTATCAATTTAAAACAATTGCCAACACATTATGTGCTATTTTGTGTTATGAAATTCAAAAACCAGTTATATTGTAAACATGTTGCCTCACCTGCAAATTCTCAGACCTTTTGTGCTTAACCCTTTAATCCACCCCTATGCACCAGCAATGCTGAGCAATAAGGTGTAGTATAATGATGCTGGTGTTAACACTGAGTTCTACAATACTGTACTTTCTGATCCCACTGATATTCCAGTTAACTGAGGGTAGCTGGTAAGGTTAGAATTTCTTGTATTTTTTGAAACGGCTGAGATTTTCAATGGTTTCACACACTCCAAGGGGCCAACTGACTGACAACCAGAGGAGGCCACTTCTACTATTTGGCTTCATGGTTCACCAAAATGGAGCAGATTTCCCCCTCACCCAATACATTACACTAGCCAGGAAAAAGCACCCCATTGGGAAAATACAGTGGTACCTCGCTAGACAGTCACCCTGCATGACAGTTTTTTCGCTAGACATCGACTTTTTGTGATCGCTATAGCGATTTGCAAAACAGTGATTCCTATGGGGGAATTTCGCTGGGCAATGTTTGGTCCCTGCTTCACAAACCGATTTTTGCTAGACGACGATTTTGACAGCTCCTTCCGCGCTTGCAAAACAGGTGTTTTGGGGACCTGAACTTCGCAAGACAGTGATTTAAACAGTTGATCGGTGGTTCGCAAAGCGGCTTTCCTATGACCGATCTTCACTAGACAACGACGATTCTTCCCCATTGGAACGCATTAAACAGGTTTCAATGCATTCCAATGGGGAAATGCTTTTGCTAGATAATGATTTCACTAAACTGCTATTTCAGTGGAATGGATTATCATTGTCTAGCAAGGCACCACTGTATAGTAGATTCACCAGGTTGGGTTTGGTCCAATTTTGATTTGTTTCGTTTCATCGAAGGGGGGGAAACCGTGCAGAAACTCTGGGGCACTGCTTACAACTTCTGTGATGATAGTGCCATAGCAATGTTGTGAATTGTGCGACAGGACGTAAGTCTGAGGAATTCGCCTTGACTGTCTTATCCTGGGGCTTAATCTTCCACGTGTAGTGCAATCTGATCCTCTCCATACATTTAAGCAGGAGAAGCTGCTCCGACGTTTAGGGACATTATGTTTGGGAATGCATATATTAACTGTACAAAGCAGAAAACAAGTACAGTACATTTCTTAACGTGATGTTAATCCACTTTGGGTACCCACAGCTCGAACAGACTCCTGATTATTTAAGGAAAAGACCAAGACAAGGACAGATTTCCAAGGATTCTGCTTTTTTTTTTTTAAAGTCACTTCGGAACGACCGAGGCCCGCAGTGGCGACAACACCCGGGCTCAACAAATAGGCGGGGGAATAAACGGACCAGAAACCTATGATTACAGGAGGGAAGAAAAGAAAGGGAGGGGGCGGGACGCTTCGTCGCCATGGCACTGAGTTTGTGCACGCTATTGGTCCCCAACGCCGGAGCGGAAGACGGGCGAGGCCACTGAAGCTGTGCCACTTTTTGACCCCGGAAAGAGTATTCGAGAGGCCTGGGACAAGGTGCGAGGTTTGAATGAAACGGGCTGATTCATCGTGGCCCGGCTGAGCGGAAAGCGGCTCGGAGAGGTTGACCAGACCAGGGGGAGAGCGAGAGGAGTGGCGGGCGGGCTCCGGGCTCTAACGGCGACCGGTAGGCCTCGTGGACGTGGGCGCGTGAAACGACCCTCCCCCCCCAGCCCACTCCCGGGGGAGGCGGTTTGGGAATCGCACGCGGGGGTCTCGCGGCGGGAGGAGGGCGGAACGGCTGGGGGGGGGGAGCGCGGGGTGAGTGCCCGGATGTGGCCGACAGTCGTTGGGCCGAAGAAGTTCTCCCCAAGGGGATGTGGCGGCATGTGCTTTGGGGCTCTGAGGCTTTCGCCCTGTGGCTGCCTCTCCTCCCCTTCCTCGCTCTTTGCCGGGGGTCTCGTTTTCCAAAGCTGTTGCCCAAAGGGCGACGTTCCCCCCCCCATCCCCAGGCAGTTGCTGAGGAAAGGGGCTTGGGGCTTCCAGGTCGTCTCTCAGGGGAAATGAGATTCAGAAACGAGACCCCCCCACACACACACACAAGCCACCGAGTCTTACTAGCTTAGGAAAAAAAAATAGAAGCCCTTTAAACTCGGAGAGCGGGGAGGGAGAGAAACTCGTTCTAAATAAAGGTTCTGTTTAGAGTTGAACTCGTGGCCTCCCCAACTCGGAACTGCTTCGGATTGTTCTGCGGACTTTTGCATGTCTTGAAAGCCCCATTTCAACCCGATGCGATGTGCCAGCTCGCAAGAGAAAGGTGTGACTTCCTATTAAACAGTGCTGTCAAATGACTGAGAAGGCTGTTTGGAATGGGTTCATTCGGTAATACGAGAGGACTCTGGATTGATAGCTGTACTGACCTGCCACGTTAAGCAGCGTCAAGCAAGTCAGTTTAGTGACGACGCTGCTTACAGGAAGCAAAAACGTGCAGTTCCTCTCCCCCAGAGCCACCCTGGTGTTTTGAAAATACTGCAATCTGATGCAGAGAGCATTGATCAACTTAACCATCTCAACAGTTGTTTACTGCTTGAGGGCAGAAGCCTTGTTGCTGCTGCTTCCAACACTTGCTGTCGCTATCACTTCTCTAGTCACGGCTATTTTAATAGAGTTGTAACAAAACCATTTGAGAAATATATTGGGTTATATCAAGGGACCCATGTAGAGCTAGCTGTTCAGCATTTGGGCTAACAGTGCAATCCAAACTGGCTGTGGTAGTTTTATAACAAGCAGTAGCATCTTGTGAGACCCAAGAGCAAAAAAAACAAAACAAAAAAATAGGGGGGATGGGGGCAGAGGAGGGGCAGAGTTACATGTGATTGAAGCCCTCTCCCCCCAGATTTGTAGCACTCTGTCAGGACAAAGTTAAGCCATGGTCAGGGTAGTCATAAGTAATGCCCAGCACCTTGAATCTCGGTGTCAGCTCAGCCTCCCTCAGCAATCTTGGCTAATTAGGATTGTATCAAAAGCAAAGGCTTGGTTCTAGATCTTCTGGAAGTAGTTCTTACAAGCTGTAACAGAGGTAGACAAACACGAGGCCCCCAAATTTGGATAATTTGGATAGCATTTCCCATAAGTTTCAGCTGGCATGGCCAATGTTTGGGTCTAAAATATTTCAAAGGCACTATGTCATCTACCCTAGGATTCAGTATCTTTGGTCAGAGCATGTGAACATTAAGCTATAACCATTGATTAATGTGATTCAGACATGGTGTACTTGTAATATGGTGTGGTAAGTGTACTTGGTAAAGGCAATCTAGGCATTTTTAATATTTTCAGTACTATAACAAACATGATGGTGTTATTTTGCCAAAGTTCTAGTCGGCTGTTTTTCTGGTGCAGAAATAACTTTTTTTAAAAAGAAAAATGTGAGTATGCAAATAACTCAATTGCTATTTAGATATATCTTAAGGACTTCTAAAACATATGGTTTCAGTTGTTACTTCTTTTTCAGTGGAATAGTCATGAGGCTGTGTGTATGTTTGCTGGCCTTCCTGCATTCACTGTTCTCATTAAGTTATACTGTTACTTACAGCTGCTTGTGTGGTGTATTCTCAGTCCAGCGGTAGACAGTGAGGTGACATCCAGATATTTACGACTACAATTCCCATCAGTATAAGAAGTATAGGCAGTGATAAGGGATTATAAGAGTTATAATCTAAAATATCTGGAGGTCAGATGTTATAATCTAAAATATCTGGAGCAGATGTCTACCTCTGCTTTTAATCTTTACTGGAAAGAATTTTATTTATTATTGAAATTCTTAATGTGCCTTCTGTTTATCTGTCTACAGACCACCTCACTCAAATAGTTACAAACGAATGCACATCACTCCCAACAAACATTTTGTTCTCATCTGCCCAATAAAACAATTATGCAGTGCCATAGGTACTTCCACTGGATCTCATTGTTTCCTTCAGAATTGGCAGTGACCTTTTCCTCTTTGCTGTTGTGGTGCAATGGTTAAACTGTAACACTGCAGCCAAGACTATGCTCACAACCTGAGTTTAATCCCAAAGGTAGCCAGCTCAAGGTTGACTCAGCCTTCCATCCTTCTCAAGCCAGTGAACTAAGTACCCAGCTCACTGGGGGTAAATCACTGTGTGTAGCCTGCATAGTTAAATTTTGAATCACCCAGATAGTGTTTTAAATATTATGGGGCAGTATATAAGCAGCAAACTTCATAGTTCTCTGTATACCCTAGAAACCTGCTAGGCCATTGGGAAACCCTTAGATCTGGGGGAGTGGGGAAGGGGTTGGCACCATGTCATACTGTAACAGGAGAAGGGGAAAGGGGAAGTCCTTATTTTACTGGCCTTGGATACCAAAGTACACCTTTGGGTCTTGGCAGTAGTGATTTAATAGATTCTTTATTCAGTATTCTTTGCTTTCACTATACTATTACCTTAACTACCATGGGTGAATTTAGGAAATTTTTGTGCATTTAACTCTAGTGTGCAATTTATGTCTTGTCATTCGGACTTGCAAGGGACATGCTAAAGAAGTAAGGCCAAAAGCAGGAAGAAAACTTAGAAGGGAAAAGGATGGGGAAATTTGGGCCACAAAATCTGTGCTGGCAAAGTATTTTCATGTGTGAAACTGGCCTGCTAATATGCTTTTAAAAAATGTTAGAGAAGATTATGTAATTAACACTTATTTATAAAGGAGCTCATATTTTCATATTATCCAAAAGACTGGTACAGATTAGTGTTGGCCTGAGAATGAGTTTGTATGTGTTAAGGAGAAGAAGTTATTGAAGTTAGAGATGCATATTTAGAAGTTTGAAGGCTATTAAAAACATGTAACAAAGTATTAGTAGAAAATTTTAGCCGAATGTGTAATAGTGAATTAGTATTGCTCAAATTTTGTTTTGTTTTTTGCACCAGGCTTACATTTCTGAAGGACATTGTTGCATTTAAAAGCTATTGAAATAATATTACATTGTGCACAAGTATTTGCATATGGAAGGCTTGTAACAGTGGAAAGAACCTATTGCGTTTTTGGAGAACACCCCCCCACACACACACCTCTGTTCTTCAACTTTTATTTTGTGGCACCTCATTACCATGTGTCTGTGAAAACCCATCTACATGAAAATGATTCCCCCCCCCCAGCTTTCATAAAGGCTTTAACCATTGTAAATAGCTTACAGAGCCTAGTGTTTGTCAGTTTCCCCGGAGCTGGTTATGGATTCTCAGTTAGTTTGGGGTTAGAAATTGAGCTGCAGTATGATGAGTGCCTTCTGTTGGCCGTCTGCTATAACCACCCTTCAGAAAATTTTAGCCGAATGTGTAATAGTGAATTAGTATTGCTCAAATTTTGTTTTGTTTTTTGCACCAGGCTTACATTTCTGAAGGACATTGTTGCATTTAAAAGCTATTGAAATAATATTACATTGTGCACAAGTATTTGCATATGGAAGGCTTGTAATAGTGGAAAGAACCTATTGCGTTTGTGGAGAACACCCCCCCCCCACACACACACCCCTGTTCTTCAACTTTTATTTTGTGGCACCTCATTAGCATGTGTCTGTGAAAACCCATCTACATGAAAATGATTCCCCCCCCCAGCTTTCATAAAGGCTTTAACCATTGTAAATAGCTTACAGAGCCTAGTGTTTGTGAGTTTCCCAGAGCTGGTTATGGATTCTCAGTTTGGGGTTAGAAATTGAGCTGCAGTATGATGAGTGCCTTCTGTTGGCCGTCTGCTATAACCACCCTTCATTTGGGTTCAATGTGTACGTGATTCAAGGCAGTCATGGCTGAAATGAGCCAAGACGTACTCCTAAATGCACATTGAGAGTGCTAATAAAAGCTGGGTTCTTGAGGTAGAATTAGGAGTGTCCTTATGCTTGGATTGGCTACTCTTGCACATAACTTTAAGCCATAGTGGAGGGCAGAAGCAAAATGCTTACTAATTCTTCCATCAGCTGTCTTTCCACATCTAGAGGTTTGTTCCTGAATTAGCTCACGTGACAGTTGCCAAAGATTTGGCCAGAATTCAACTATGATGTATATACTGTATAATGGTGTTAATATGCTGATTTACTTGGCAAGTGGCATGTCGTCCTTATTGTTTAGTCGTTTAGTCGTGTCCGACTCTTCGTGACCCCATGGACCAGAGCACGCCAGGCGCTTCTGTCTTCCACTGTCTCCTGGAGTTGAGTCAAATTCCTGTTGGTATTGTCATCCTTACCACCTCCCAAGTATATAAGTGTGATTGCAAACATTTATATGGTTGAGTATGTAATTTACTTATGTACTTGAGAATGATATGCCACTTGCCAAGTAAGGTCAGCACTCTGCATACACAGTAGCTGAATGTTGGCAACAGTTAATATGCTTTAATATTGGACTGTTCCACATCTAGAGGTTTGTTCCTGAATTACCCCCACTGTGCTTGTGTGGGCGTGTGGGAGCCCGCACACTCTCTCGGGTGCAAGCGTGAAGTCATACACAGTAGCTGAATGTTGGCAACAGTTAATATGCTTTAATATTGGACTGGCTGAGCCTCTGAGGAAGGTGGGGTACCCCCACTGTGCTCATGTGGGCGTGCGGGGGTCCGCACACTCTCTCGGGCGCATGCGTGAAGCGGTGGGGGAGCGCGTGCACGCCAGTGCCAACATTAGTGCTCCCCCACCCCCTTGTGCATGTGCAGGAGTGCCTGCATGCCCACCTGCCCATCCGTCCTCCGTACAGGCACTCAGGCGCATGTGTGAAGGGGTGGGGGAGCGCTCATGCCAGCGCTGGCACACGCATGCATGCACAAAGCAGCTGTGGGGAGGGGAGTGCGTGTTGGAGGTGGGAGATCTGTCTCCGCAGCCCAGTCTGTCTCAGGCCATGGACTAGCACCAGGCCGCAGACCAGGGGTTGACCACCTCTGGTCTAATCCTTGTTGCTTAAATAGAGAATTTTTACTTAGTGAGCCAAGATGAATCAAGTTGGTTTGTTAGCACCTATAATATGAATCCTAAAATGAAAATTAATTTACATTGTTAAGTTGGACCTATAACGTGTCCTTAAGTAAAACTTCAAAATGAAATCACTTGTTCTTTTTTCAGTATTACTGATATTTCACTCTTTATACATATTTTGCCTACATGATTATATTACATTGATATCTGTATGAATGAATAACGTTTTAACAAATTGTTTCAGTAATTCCTGAAAAACTTTAAAAATAAATCACATTTAATGTTTAATTTGTATAACCGTTGGCAAAATCATCTTGCATAATGTTATGTCCATGCAAGCTGATGATATATCACCCATGGGCTTGTGTCACACATTAAATTTTTCCTATTCCACCATCCGTCCAGGTTAAAAGGCTCCCATGGGATCCCTTTTGACTTCAAGAGGCTTTGGGGAACCTTGGGATTGGAGAGAGGAGCCTTTAATGCCTGCAGATCATTGGTTTTTCAGATCATGTTTTAAATCCCATTTGCCTCAGTGAGGTCACTTGAAGTATGATTAAGTTTGGATACAACTCTGTAGCCTCTTTTTGTAAACAGAAAATAAATTTTCTTGTATTGGTCTGCATTTTAAAGCTTTTTTTCTTGACTTCTACAGCAGTGTTATAGTCTATGTGAAATTCAGAACGTGTGTACCTATAATTGGAGGGGGTACTGTCAGTATTTAAAAGCTACAGGAATGTTCTCATACTCCAATAGTTGCTGTTCCTTCTGTTTAGGTAGAAATTAAACTTCACATCAGCTCAAACCTGCCGATCCAGCTGATATCAAGAACAGGAGGCGGTGAAAAGAACTGAGAACTAGGTGGCTATAAGGTAAACCAGCTTAAAACTATTGCCTTGGTGTCTAGGGCTTAGATTTACCTGGCAGTGTACTGCTTAAATTGATAAGAAACCCTATTCAGCTGTCTAGGGTGTTGAGAGAGTCTACAGGACTATAGATGTGCTTAGCATTGCAAGTTCTTCTGTCGTAACTCAGCCTGTGTCGTTGTACTGATGTCTGAACACTAACTCTTAGTGATTGGTCCATCACTAAAATATTGGGCGAAATCCAACACTGCATGAGGAGACTTCTGCTCAGACGGGATTTTCCCCTCCTCTTCTCCCAAGCTTTCCATACCCCCCTCCCCCAATCTGTTCCAGAAGGTCCCCCTTTAGGAACAGATTTTGCGGGGGAAGGGGAATTGCCCCATTCCCTGTTACACTGCATGATGCCACTCCATCGGTGAGAGGGGTTAATTGGATACCACCCGTTGAAAGTAGTTTTAATTGATGTGCTTGACATAGAATACAATCCTGAGAAAATTTAAGTTTTGTTAAAAACAGCAGGTTTTTTTAATTGATTGAACTATACAGGCATTTTGAGTAGCATTTTAAAATTTCATTCAAGGGATGATTCCCTATGTGGTCATGGGTATTAGGCATAGGTTTTGTGGACTGTTAATCACATAATTCTCCATTCTGGGAGTTCCACCTGTTAGACACAAAAATGGGGCTCACTAAGTGGAAAGCCTGAGCTGAAAAAGCTTAGTGGTTTAGCATAGGTCTAGCTCCACCCATATTTTCAGAAAGGAAGGTTCCAGCTGGCAGTGGGGTGGCTTCCTTTCTGCCCAGGAAGCTAGGGTGGAGCTGTGCCTTTGTGAGGCCATGAAATCTTCCCAGCTAGGCTGTTTCCCCCCCAAGTGAGCCATGTTTAGGTGCCTATAGGTGTTGTCTGTCAGGTGGAAATTCCAGAATGGAGATTATGGGATTTGTAGTCTAAAAATTCCATGACTTATGGGCATTTAAATATTTTCTCTTTTATAAGGAGTTGAGCTGGAGCATTATCATCTTATTCCTTCTTTTTCCAGCATACCTGCCCCCATACAGATTTCCTGACATGGTGCACGGAAGGACCTAAGGCATACAGTGCATGGTGTTTGCCTTTTCTAGTGCTAACAATCACTAAACTGGTAGCCAAGAAGCAAATAAGGCCATTTACCAGTGGTCGGTACTTCTGGGAGTTGTAGTCTGGGACTATCTGAGACGCCAAATTTGAGAATCTCTGAACTTGTCCCTCCTCTAGGGAGCAAGGCAGTTTCCAGCCCTCTACAAATTGTCACATCTGGTTTAGAGTATTAGAGGATTTCTTCAAGCAGGTTTTGGGGTGTGTGTGTTTGGGACTGAAAGAGCAGGGAAGAAGTTATAACTGTGCCTCACAAAGGCAAAATCCTACATGCAGCATCTTGATGCACTATAAAGAATTTAGTGAATCTTAACATCTGCACCTGTTGCAAGCATATTTTGAAGTTCAACTATGCAGCTGCCTTGCTAAATGTAAGCAGATTTTGGCATAGTCAGGACCAAGATAGGAGGCCACCTTGAAGTGCCATGTATATTATCATGAACTCAGTAACAGAAGAAAGACAGAACAAAAATGTACTAAATAAATATGGCAGGCATGTTATTTATCTTGTTGATATCTTCCCTTTCTCTCATAAATGAACTCAAATCAGATTACAATAAAAGTACAAATACAACTGGAAGAGAATAAAAATATTAAAAAACTGAAAACAAATTAAAACACACAAATAGAAGAACGCCCCTTCCATAAGCAAGCAAGGTCAAATGTCCAAGGCTTGCGTAGACAACGTCTTTCCCTGCTGATGGAAAACTAGTGTAGCCTCTCAGTAAAGAGTTCCAGAGCCTCTGATGCCACTGAGAAAATCCCTAATAGGTTTGCCATAGGAGGTTTCAAGACAAAAAAGTCTGAAGATCTCAAAGCCCAGGCAGATTTTTATTTGAGATTTTCGTCATTCACATAGTTTCAAACAAAACTACTGTATTTTTCTGTGTATAAGATGCTCCCATGTATAAGACGCCCCCCCCACTTTTCTAATCCAAAATTAAGAAACTAAGTGAGGCTTAGCAAGTTTAGGGGGAAAGGGATCAAAGCGCTGAAGGATCGCTTTGATCTCTGATTTCAAAGCGCTGAAGGATCGCTTTGATCTCTGGTTTCCCTTGCTTGTTTTTGTTCTCTCCTCAGCTTACTTCCGTGTATAAGATGGCCCTCAAATTTTAGTCTAAAGATTTTAGACAAAAGTATAGTCTTATACACAGAAAAATATGGTATACAATATTTTATTAGTTTTTAATCAACACTTTAAATGTGGTCCAGAAATGGACCATTAATCATAGAAGCTGTCATAACAAGAGTATTAAGTGCTGCTTATAAACTAGTCAGCAGTCTGGCTTCAACATTTTGGATTAGTTGAAGACAGCTGTCATGCTCACGGTCCCCTATAGGATCTTTGGGCAAGTCAGTTAGAGAGTCTCCAAGCCTTTATCTACCACCTTCTTGCTGGACCAAGTCCTTAGATGTCAGGGGTGCATAGCATAAACCTCTTTGAACAAGTCCGACCTAAAAAGAACACTTTGCACTTACTTAGCACCTTAGCAAGTACAGGCACCAGGGCTTTGTGATTCCTTAGAACACACAACAGCTCAGCAAGGTAGGATTCTGAATAGTAGCAAACTTGTGGCCCCTTCCACTTACTGGAATTAGCTAGACCTTTGCTGTTCAAGAGACCAGTCCTCAACAAGCTTTTTAAGATTACATTTTTATTAGAAAAATAAAGTTTCATAGGATAATCAGTTTGTATTGCATAAGCATAGCATTCAAGAACATATTCAAAGATTATTGCAGTTTAATAAAATAACTATTTCCCAACTAAAATAAGAAACATCTAAAAGCTGTCTTTATGGTAGGCTATATAGGGTAAGCCCACCTCTTTCTTTCTACTGCAAGCTACATGCTCACCAACATCAAAGTCCACCATCAGTCTTAATTCATCATCAGAAAAGAATAATTGTAAAAAAGACTCATTTCACATAATTCTCCATTTTCTACTTTCCCGAATCTCCTGCCTTCCTTCTCCATCCCTCTAGCTGTTAATCAATTAGATTTTAGGGGTCGTTCTTCTTTTCTCTACCCCTTATTCCCACGAGAGATGCAGGTGTTGTTTGTCTTCCCCAATTATCCTGGAATATTGAATCTTCTTCGTTATCTCGTTCCTTGCTGTAACTGTCTGCAAGAAAACACTCTAATGGCATCTCAGAAAAACACATTCCAAAGGCCTTCAAATCATCTTTACAAAGAACAATTCTGACTCCATGTTACATTTCTCTTGGCTACATATCCCATTCTCATTACATGCTTTTTAAACCACATATCTCATGATCATGACAAACCACCCTTTAAATTTAGAAAATTGAGGTTTTTTGAAGCCTCCATTTTTTATTGCAGCTAAATTACATCAAAGCAAAATTGGATTACATGTTTTGGCTTAGTTACTAATTTAAATCTATGTTAAAGTTACACAATATAATACATGCAAAAATTTCAATTATGCATTCTACCCAGCAAAACATTGAGGTAGGAAACAATTGTAATAGCAGCATTTGAATACAAAACTTTGGGTTAAGGAATTCTAGAAATCTGAAAAATAGAAAACAGTCATGTGAATAGTAAAAAAGAACTCTGTTAGTACTCTGATGTTTTACTCTCTAATAGTAAAACAAACTCTGGTTATGTTTAAGAACCAGTAAACCAGTAAAACAGAAAGAATTTTTCCAACCATCTGCCACGTCTGAAATTCCACAATGCATCCTGGACAGACTTGGCAACAATGGTCAGCTTCCCAGGAAGATGCTGAATGTTAAAATCAAACTCCTGTAAAATTAAACTCCAATGCAACAACTTTTTGTCATGAGATCTCATTCTTTGCAACCAAATCAATGCATGATGGTCAGTTTGCAAGGTAAATTTGCGCCCCCACAAATATGGTTTTAAAAGCTGAATAGCCCAAAGAATAGAACATGCTTCTCTTTCATGTACAAAGATTTTTTTTCCTTGGGGCGACAGCTCTCTATTGAAATATGAAATTGGATGACAAGTTTCATCATCCCCTTTTTGCAACAACACAGCACCTAATCCCCAATCAGAGGCATTGGTGTGCAAGACAAAGTGTTTGTCAAAATCAAATGATTTCAAAATAGGAGCAGAAACAATTTTAGCTTTCAAAGCATCAAAAGCCTCTTGACACTCGTGTCCAATTCACCATGACACGCTTTCGTTTCTTTACTAGCTTTGTCAAGGGTAAAGCCAAATCACTGAAATTAGGAATGAATTTTCTGTAGTAACCAACTAGGCCCAAAAATGATTGAACCTGCTTCTTTGAAGTCGGGGTAGGACAATTCTGTATGGCATCTATCTTGGGTTGAATTTCCGCCTGCCCAATCAAATGACCCAAATAGAAAACTTTGCCTTGTATCCACTGACACTTGCTGGCTTGGACTGTCAGACCAGCATTCTGCAATCTACACAACATAATTTTAATGTGAGACATATGAGAAACAAAATCAGGGCTAAAAATAGCTAAGTCATCAAGGTATGCTGAGGCAAATGACAAATATTGCAGGATTTTGTCCATTAATTTCTGAAAAGTCAGAGCTGAGTTTTTTAGAGGATACGGGAGCTTCTTCAAACGGAAAGTCCCCATGTAGCTTATAAAACTGGATTTGTCCTTCGAGCTCTCGTCTAATTTTAATTGGAATAGTCCAGCAAAAAGATTTATGAGTGACACATACTAAGCGCTGGATATTTTCTCAATCAGAGAATCCATGCATGGTAAAGGATAAGAATCAGGAACAGTTATGTAATTTAACTTTCTATAGTCCACTTCAAACACAGCTTGATCCAAAATTTCTCCAGTATCACTTTTCTTTGGCACAACAACAGCAGGATTACCCCATTCAGAATTACTGGGTTCTATGAT